AATTATTTTCGCCATCTTCTCACAGTAGAGACAAATGGCTCAAATACCTCCCATAGAGACAAATGCTGAGCCATCTACCTCACCAAATCATTTACGATATTCTTTATTATCGTGGACATATGATGGACTCATGTAGTAGAAAAGCAGAAACATCTGGTTTGTAGCTCATAAGAACTTCTTTTTTTAGAAATGCATGATCTTATTAATCACAAACAAATTGAATTTAATCAAACTCATTGTGTAGAATCCTCAAGCAAGGGATCTTATTAACTAATACCTCCTTCGGTACACAATATATGGCATCCTTTTTACAGTGGGTGACGTAAGAAGCAATACATTGAGCACTCCTTCAATCATACTATGTTACTAAAAATAAAAATTATAATTCATGATGAAAGCTGTTTTAACGATAAATCTAGTCTTATAGCTTTGCTAATGTGTTCAATATAAAGTCTCGTATGGCCAAACTGAAGAAACTAGACCGTGCACAATGTGTAGATCTGAAATTTATTTTTCAAACTCCAAATTTCAACTGTTATTTATCTAGTTCTTGCACTGCAACTGTGCACTGGCACTATAATTATACAGTCTTTGCAAATGTCAATAGTCAGGCAACAATGGAATTTAGTTAAATTGTTGTACAAATAATTTGCCAATCTTCGCTACAGAAGCAGAGCGCTTGTGACATAAACTAACCTAAACCAGACACTGCAAGGAATTTATTTTCCAGATCATAGTAATTACATGAACACAAGGAAACCTTCAAGCCTCACACACTCCACGAAATAGCAACTCAGGCTACGAGCGAGGGATTCAGGGGGCGCTGTCACACCACAGCATAAAACTTCAGTGGTTCTGCTGAAAGCGCTTGACTGATTGAATCTCCTCGGCAATTCCAGGGAACCTTTTGGTTGTCCACCGGTACCAACCAAGTGATTAATGTCGTGGATCCATAAGCCGTGCCTGGCGGGGACACGATCTGGGGCCTCCATGGTAGGTGTGTAGGAGAAGCCTCACAGGTTGCTGACGAAGGAACTGACGAAGGGAGGGCTGTGGTGGTGGTGCGCACAGAAGCGGCAGAAAAGGTGGATGTCAGATATGATGCAACACCAGCGCTTTCAGATGAGGGAGGCGGGGTAGGTTTCCGACGTCCAGCTGCATCACCGCCCATGACATCTTGCCCTCCTCACAGCTCGTTTGGCAGGGGGCTCGTGTGGCAGGGGGAAATGATCAAGTGATCAGCATCGTGGATCTGCATTTGCACAAACACCTAGTCAGTAATTTAGTCAGGCCATATGCCTACACTAGCTTCTGCATATCATTAGGGAAAACTTAAATAAGAGATGGAGCAGTATAAACCAAGATAAACTTTGATAAGCATTTGATTAACCTTGAGGAAGTTGACTCTTGAGTGTCCCTTCAACACTGTAGCTTAGTACCATATACTAAAAAGGATGCTTCATGATAGAAAGTCTTTCAGTAGTACAATTCATGTATTGGGAAGCACAGATCACATAATCAAGTAAGCATTCATCATGAACCAAGAAGCCTCGTGTTTCCGATCATTAGAAAATGATGTGAAAGGATGGGAGTGACTCGACAAGGAAAAGATAGGCCCATGTTACGCAGAGTGATCCCAAGGCATGTGTGATGTCCTCGGTTTCGATGTTGCATGGGAAGTAGGGATTTGCCAAGGTATGCACAATTGATATGAAGTGATGTGAAGTCCTAGTAAGCATATGCAAATAAACCATCCCACTAAGATGAAACAGAATTAGCTATGAGTGCTAAACTCTACAAGATGAATAATGGTTCTAAGCTCTACATGATGAATAAATGGGTGGTAAGAAAAGTGATAAAGTATAAGCCTAAGAAATAAATGAACACTAAGAGCTTGATAGAGAGAAAATATGGCACCTATCTTATTCTACTTCTTTCTTTTATCTTTTCTTTCTTTCTTTCTTTCTTTTTCTTTTTTCTTTTTTTCTTTCTTTCTTTTCCATTTTTCTTTCTTTTTCTGCCCTACAAAAGATTGATAGGTGCCGACGGAAGCTCTTATATATATGAAAATAAAAGCGAGGCATAAAATGGTTGGTGAATTTAGAAAGCGCTAAACATGATGACTATTATGCCTCCTTTAAAGATGTACAAAGCAAAATTCAAATGTGCATGGCAAAAGGATCCACTACTTGGAATAGCAAATGAGGAGGTGCTATGATAGGTAGATATGGTGGACTCTTTGGAAAACTGAAGTGGCTTAACGGGAGTTTCTCTCTTTTTTTTTTCCTTTTTTTGGTCATTTTACCTTTTAGCCTTTTTTTCCCTCTCACGGTTGATTCAACTGTTCTATCAACCTTGGTTTCTTACCTCTCACATCTCACTCTTTTTTTAGTGAGAAACCCCACAATGGTTGGGATGTACTGGCGGAGTATGCTAGATCCCAATGTAGGAAATGCAATGCCAAGTACCGATGAGGCTAGCAACATAAGATAAAAGGATGATCGGCTTGGAGGGCATCTTGTCACGATGAAATGCAAACCTGAAGATGTAAACTGTATGAAAAGGTTGTGGAAGTGTAGCGAACTTGAAAACCATGTCTTCATGAGTTACCACGAAGATTTTAACGAAAGTAATTTGAAGCATTGCAGAGCGAATATAAGAACACCTGCACACAAGATAGAATTGTGAGCACACCACAAATTTCTTCCAGGAACAAAAAAAAATGAAGAAACACTGAAATGCGATTAACTGATTTGTCAACATTTTGAGAAGATAAGTAGTGTCGAGAACAAATCTTCAATTAATGGTTTAGGAAAGGTTGTTTCTGAGAAAAAAAAGGAAAACTGAATAAATTCGTTTCAGTGTTTATATCTGAATATCTGATATCTCAAGAGGCTAATTGGATTTCTTACTGAAAGATCAAATGGTTGGGAACAAACTGAGTACTAAGAGTTTAAACTTGAAGACCAAATGTATTTACCAGATTTATATGCCTGAAGAAAATAACACAAGACCATCTTGTGAGAACTATGCATCATGCATGGATGGCATGAGTCTTAAAAGGGTAGAAAAATGTACAACTCCAAGATAGAGAGCCCTGCACAATGAATGGAAACAGAGAACTGTTCAGTTTAAGCAGCAATGAGGCAAAAATAAACCTCAAGAATGGTTTTTCGTGTGTCGGATCAGAAAAGATTAACTGGGGATAGATAAAACCAAGGAAACATCAGGGTGTCGATGAACAATGCATAAAACTATCGAAGTACAGTATGATTATGCATGTACTAACCAGATTATGGACAGAATGGAAGATGCAGATTGAGATCCTCCAGGATAGCATCTCTTCAGCTGGACTGAACTCAACTATGTCATGACAACTTACTTACCAGGAGAACCAGGTCTGCCTTAACCCACAGGACCAACCTTTTACCGAGATTGATCTGAAAAGACCAGGGTAACATCATAACATTAGCATCTGATTGTACATTTCTAATTGAAATATGGAACAGATCAGCCAAAGTAAGGCACTTACAATGCATCACCCATTAGTGAGGACAGTTTGCATCGTAAACAGCTTTGCAGCATGTAAATCATCTGGACAAGTGACATCCTAATTTAGTGTTGGCTGATCAAAATTGCACAAGTATTACATGGACAGCAACGGACATTTTTTTTTGCAGAAGCAGGTACTTACTGCTGGTGGTTCACAGAACCTTTCCTATACTGAGAAAACTTCAGAATTTTTTTATGAGATTCAGCAGAACTTCAAAATGTCACATGATGAATTTATGGGACTTTATGTTGCTGTAGTAATTATGATCCATTTCCTTGTAGTGAAACTTGTAGAGCTCCTACATCTGGTTCAAAAGAAAGTCAGACATTAGCATGAAGATAAATAATAGAGCTCAACAAATGTAGATCTTCTAAAGTCCTAGGGTACACTGCCTTGGATTAAGAGAATTCACAGGCTTTCCCCTAGCTTGGTTAAGAAATTCTTTGCTTCTGACAAATATAAAATGTTCCTATTGTTTAAAGTTTCATTTTACTTGTATACACTTACCAGATCATAACACTTTATAGGAATCCTACAAGTGTTGGACTGAATACTACAAGTGAGAAGTGTGCATGGATGGACAGAGTGATTCCTTGAAGGGCTCAAAACTGTGCAACTCCTAGATAGAGCTCTGCACAGAGTATTAAAACAAGCCAGTTATTAAGAAAACTCGTTGCGTGGAATTCATGTGTGGGTACTAGGAATGTCTTGTTTACCTTTGGATTGGCCAGATTTGACTTCAGTGGAGGAGCTACACAAGGTTGATTGTCTGTGGGTGTGGGCGGTGGGGATATGAATTTCTAGGGGGCAAAAACTATATTCCTCCCCCTCCCTATAACAGCTTTCTTCGCAAAATTTGTCAAGCCGCCGCAGCCCTTGCACACATATCTCCGGCCACCAGTGTTTGATTTACTGGAATTGTCCCTTAAGCTTGCTACACCGCGAAAGATGACAAAATCCTGCATAGTAGATGGAAACAGAAAGCTGTTAAGACTATGTAGTAATGGGGTAAAACGAAGCAAATAAAACGGTTTGACGTGTGTGGGATCAGGAAAAAGTAACGTTAGTTAGGAACAAGATACAGTTAAAGAATATTGGACTTACGGGATGATTACGTACATCATGGATGATACAGACTGAAGTCTTGTGCTTGCACTGGGAAAAACTGATGAGAGCCAGAGAACGAACTACACTTTGTATCCAGAGAGAATTGTACGAGGCTGATGATGAACCAATCAAAAAGACAAAAAGAGAGCCCTGCACAGAAGATTAAAATAAGTGGGTTATTCAGTTCAGAAGAAACGAGAGTAATTCCTAAGAGCCAAGCAGAAAAAAATCTGAATGATGTCGAAGCTAACGAGGTTAGCAAAAGCAAGGGGAACTGGTGAGTAGGAACTATAAGAATGAGAAGAGGGTAAGGACGTGTTTGTTACCTTGGAAGGATTCTTCAGGCCATGATTACTGGAATTGTCCCTATCAAGCTGCGGCACTGCCTTTTAAGCTCCTCGCTTTCGGAATCACGGACATGTAGTGCTCGCAGGGATTTGGGAAGCCCATCCTTGTGAAGCGATTTGATTTCAGGACACTCCCGGATCAGTAATTCCTGCAGAGAACTCGGGAGGGCGTCCTTGGGCACTGATTTTATGGCAGGACAATTCGCGATCTCCAATTTTTGCAGAGAAGTTCGGAGGCCGTCCGAAAAAGTGGGAAGCAATTCCAGCTCAGGACAATTGGAGATCTGTAATCTCTGCAGACAACTCGGGAGGCAGTCCTTGGGCAGCGACTGGAGGGATGTGCATTCAAAGATACACAAGTAGTTGATGCTGGCAAGTGTATGTAGTCCTGCAGGGAGGAACTGCAATTTCTGGCAGTAACCAAATGCGAGCTCTTGGAGGGAGGTGAGAACCAGGAGGGCCTCTCCTGGGATGGGCTCCACCTCTTTGCAACCATAAATGCTCAATTTGGTGAGAGAGGTGGAGATGAGGCTGCAGATGGACACAGGAAGAACTCCTGGGGAGTTATATATGGATAGGGTATGTAGTTTTGAGGAACGGCTGACGCTTAGGTTTGTGAGGTCCTCCATGCCCCAAAGCTCGAGTTCTTCCAGGTTGGATAGGTTTGTGAGGGCCAGATTGTTGAATTCTTTAAGATTGGATAGGCAGAGTTTTTCAAGGGAGGCCGGGAAAGGGAAACAAGACGAGGAGCTCGAGCCCGAATAGGAGAAAAGCAACTTGGGGCAACCTGCGCGCACTTGGCGGAGGGAGTGTAGACGCTGGAGACCTCCTGCTGCTTCGTTGTTGTCGCCCCCTAAATTGGGGACTATTCTCAGCTCATGGCAATTTTCGACTATCAGCTTCTGTAGTTGGGTAGGCAAGAGCAGCAGTCCTCCTTCTGCCGTCGCCACTATTTCCTCCTCTTCTTTTGTCTCTTGCTGCTGTGCTCCACTCTGCCGCTCTGACACACCAAGTTCTGTTATCTTTTCGCAATCATATATGGCCAGGCCGGTGAGCTTCGGAAAATGAGAGAGCAGTTGAGTCAATTCTTTCCCGCTAGCACCACTTCCATAAATTGTGAGGTTTTCAACTGGAACCTGGCACAGGACATGGCCCTCGCCTCCGACTGGAGACAGGACAATACTCGACCGACCACTTATAGTGAGCTCCCGCAGAGATGTTAGCATTTGGATTTTATCCAACGGCAAAGGAGGGCAATTGTGTAGATTCAATATTTTTAGTGCACTCAAATTACAGAAAGCCAACTCTTTCGGAAACAAGCTACTTGTACCATCCGCTGCGTAAATGTCCAAACTTAATTTTGGTTCTGAGTAAGTGAGCTCCTCAATTGAGCCTGTTTGTTCTATCTCAATGGAGCATAGACTATCAGTCCAGGGGATAGCAGGCATTGTCCTCAGCTTTGGGCATCCTACAATCCTGAGCTTTCTTAGTCTAGGGAACCAAGTCATGTTCTCTCCTTCCTGCTCTGGCTGAGAGCAAGTAGAACATGAAAACGGCAACTCTATAAGTTCAGGGCAGTCTTCAATAATGACCACTTCCAGGTGGAGGAAGAAGCCACAATTTTGATTTCCAGCCCACCTTTTCAGTTTTGGTATCTTAACAAACACTAGCCTTTTCAAATTTTGAAAGCCTTGTTTTTTGAGACAATTTTTTTGAAAGCTTGGGCTTGCGATGCAACCCTTGCACTCACCATGGGGCTCATGGACCGACCAGAACTCTCCTAATGGTGGAAAAGTTTTCCAAGATACATTAGCCAAGTGAAGAGATTCCAAATTTTTGACCAAGAGGTTATCACCTAGCCATCTTGGGCAACTAGTACCTCCGTGTCCTGTAATGCACAGATCTCGAAGGTCACTATGTGGTACAAGATTTTCAATAACATTTTCTTCTCTTGTTGGTTCCCTGTTAGATCGTTCCACATCCCACTCTAATGTTAGTTCACGCAAGTGGTTCCTATGTATTGGTCTTATTTCCTTATCCCGGCCCCCCTTTTTTGGCACCTTTTCAAGATTATAGATGCCAAGTGACCCTCCCAACTCTGTTAACTGCGTGAGCTGACTTATTTCGAAACCAGTACAATCATTTCGAACTTGAAATCTTCTTAATTCTGAAAGCAGTTTAAGTTTTCCCACCTCAGATATGTCAGAATGAACTTGAGGCATATTTTCTGGCACAATAAAATGACGAAGCTTTACCAGGTTGGTGATATGTTTTATTGAAACAGGGTCGTTCCACTTTTCAAAATTTATTATCTCTAGATGATAAAATCTGAACAACATACTCGGTAAGTCGATGTTGCATCTATCATCGCTTGGCTCGATCCTTAGGTAACGAAGATGGATGGTTTCTGAAAAATTATGCAGAATGTCCTCTATAGAGTATGATGCTCCAGATAGAAAAATAGTACGAAGGGCTTTAGCTTTTTTAAATAGATGAGCAAAGGTCTTCGTGAAGCTACCATGGTATCGCCCAAACACCATCAGAGTACGTAGGTTTTCAACTTTTAATCTTTTCCCTAATGCACTCAAATCATCTTTATAGTCACCGAAAGTCATTCTATCATCAACATCTTTATCATCTACAATTATGGATAAGTGACGTACAGATGGGGAGATGTGTATGGACCTGACATTAGAACTACATATGCTAACACACTCATCTGACGATACCTTTGTGGCCAATTCATGCAATAGATCATGAACAACATAAAAATAACGACCATCTTCTTTTTTGTTTTTTTTGAAAAATCCGTAATTGACCAACTCATGCAAATGGTCTAGTCCAACATCTTCAGTTCTTCTATTCTGGTCAAATGGATGCAAAATACCTAGTCCTATCCACAATTGAACTAACTCCTTGGTATCAAATTCGTAATCTTCGGGAAATAAAGCACAATACACAAACAACTGTTTTAAATGGAAAGGGAGAAAATCATAGCTAAGTTTGAGGGCTGGCATGATGTCACTCTCACTGGTTTCTAATTCCCATTCTTTGCTTTCTAGAACTCTTTTCCAATGGTCCAAAGTAAGTTGGTTTCGTAGTAATCTACCTACAGTTTTAGTTGCAAGAGGGGAACCTTTCAAATGGCGCACTACTTCATGACCAGTTTCATGTAATGCAGCAGGATGTTTTCCCCATGGTTCTAGCTCATTACCAAATACACATGCTTCAAAGAAACGCATGGTATCTGCATCATCTAGTCTTTCCAGTTCTAGTTCACAATTGGTTGTCTTAACCATTTCTGCTACCATTGGTATTCGAGTTGTGACTATAATGAAATTACCCTTGGACTCAACCTTTTTCAAAGGTGCTATTAGTTTTTTCCACTCATCCTCTCGATATGTCCACATATCATCCAAGACGAGTAAAAACCTCTTACCTTTTAATCTTTGTTGGATAAGTTCTTCGGCACTAGCATTCTTCTTTTCACCATCAACTTTAGCGATTTTGTTGACTATCTCTTGTGCCAACCTATCTGCACTGAAATCAAGAGAGACACATACCCAAATTGAAGCCTGGAAATAGCTACTCATTTCTTGGCATATGTGTTGCGTAAAAGTTGTTTTTCCAATACCCCCAATTCCAAAAATTGGAAGCACGTTAAGTTGACTGAAAGAGTACTCGTGACTATTAATGACATCTACAATTTTCTTCTTTTGGTCATCCCTCCCGTAAAAATCAGGTTCTACAATCTCTGATGTGGTTTTGGATCTGTTTATAGCAATTTCTTTGGTGTGAGTGCAGTTGGAGCCCAACAAATTTAGATTAAGAATTATGGAGACCTTAGCACATACTTCCTTTAGCTGCACTACCATGTCCATCATCATTTGAGACATTTGGACCCTATTAAACTTCAATTCTTCGCAATCGCTATGGTTTGCAAGCTCCGGCATGATAGCTTGAGGATCATCATTTTTGGTTTGAACAGTCACATGGGCTTGAGGATTATCATGGTGGGCAGATATAGGAGAGTAGCATGGAAAGTGTTTACCGAATGTGTGGGCAGCGTTGCGAGCACTTGAGATGACCTTGGGCATGCATCTGCCATCAACCTTCTTGACACCCCCCTTGTTGGCGGGCGTCGGTGACGAGGAGCTGATGCCCCGCCTGCCACACAAGCGTATGCCAGAGAGGCATCGTTGCTTGCCATCATTTTCTTGGTGTTCACCGGGATCACTTTCTTGGTGATCACTAGGATCACTTTCTTGGTCACCACCATGGCTAGGAGCACCCAAGAGTTTGCTGGTGACATGCCTTGCCGTGTGTTCAGCATTGATGCGGATGGCATGGACGGAACCCACGGCATTCACGTCGGCGGCATGGTAGGTTCCATGAAGGGCGTCGTGGATGCGGAAGTACTCCAGCTCATCCAGCACATCATCTGCCCCGTACGCCAGCTGCTCGAGCTTGCGCAGGAGCTCCTTGAGCGCGACGCCACGGACGCCCCTGCCCTGCGCGTTCTCGAGCATCCCATGCGCATACAGCAGCTCCATCTTGAGGGCGTCGATGTTGTGATCGAGATTGGCGCTAGCCGCCCAGGCCTCCAGCAAGCCATCCGTGACGGGGGCCAGCGCCTTGCCCAGCACCCACTTTGCGGCACCGATGGCGGTGTCCATCCTCCGCCTGAAATATCACTTGCAAATACGTACATCCATTGATTATTAGTCACTAACAGAGTAACCGTGCTAATTGTAGATTGATGATTCGAGACGAGGATTAGATGGAAGAAAGATGCACGTACCGCCGTGAAACCCCCCTGCCTGGAGGCGCTGAGGTGACCCAAGGCGTAGTGGGATGTGCACGGAGAGAGAGAGAGATAGCAATCAGCAGGTAGCAGTAGTGTGCGTAGAGGTGTGTGGAGAGCGATGTGCAGCAGGAGGGGGTATATAAAGAGAGGGTCAGGGCCCTCCCCTAGAAAAAGAAATTACGGGATGAAGTAAAATAATGGCTGCCAGCAAGAGGTTTAGTGCCGCCACATTAAAATAAAATGGAGACTCTGCTTCAGATCTCGCGCCACGGCTGCTTATGAAATACGAGTACTCAGGAATACTCTGTGGAAACTTTTGACTCGACCTCAACGACCGTTGAGAAGCAGCAGGTGACCGGACAACTGCGCTTGATCTGAGGCGCTGCTTGAGTTACTGACCCCCACGGTGTTCTTCGGGAGAATGCGTTGAAACATTGAAGACGATGATTTAGTTTTGAGGTACAATGGCTTCTGTTTGGGCGGCCGGTCTCTCTATCTCATATATACTTACTCTCTTTCGTAATACAATTACCTTTTTTTTACTTGTTCTGCTATTTTTCACTCTGCGTCACAATCGGGACACTAGATAGACCATCCTGTTTCACTCGGTATTTTTCATGGGTGCGTGATAAACTGCCTTTTAGTCCTAATTTTAATAGAGTTGGCATTGTTGTGCTATGCTGGGCTATTCGGAAAACACATAGCAGAGCTTGTTTTGAGGGCGCATGACTCGGCCAGGGCCTCGGCCACTGGGAGGCTTCTACGCATCATGGAAGCAGGAAAGCCTGGATATGCTGGAGGGGTATTGAATTCCGATGAAGATGACAAGATGATTTGTCTAGGACCAAATGCAACATGCAGGTAGCAAGTCCCGCGAAGCAAACTCAAATTCCTTGTTTGTGTAGTTATGATGCCAACCCAAGGTTAGTTGTTAATATCCAATGCACAAGTTGTGCTTACACTATGAAATGTTTAGCTGTCGCTTCACCAACTGATCTAGCAACAATATTATTACTGATGTATCAACGGCGGCTTTTTGGAGTCATTTCATTTGGCGCGAGGGACGGGACACGGTATTTGTCTGCTCTGCTCCGGGTACAACCCTCCCTAGATGCCCTTGTCCATATGATCCAAGCTAATATGCACTACCTTCGATTTGTTTTTTGAAATATAGTAATGACTAATGGCAAGGTTATGTTATCTTTTTCGTCCGTATACTGATATGAATAAGCAGAATGAGTTGGACCGTCGTTGATAAGACCAACTACTAGTAGTCTTGGCGTCTTGGTCATTTTGTTAATGGACATGTGCTGGCTACTGATGGCTGCATCTCAACCTCTCAAGTCAAGCCATCGAGTCGCCTTGATTAAACCCCGTCGATAGTCTTTGTGGAACTCAAACACCCAACATCGAACAAGGCTCTGCGTGTGCGGTCGACAATGACGGGCCAACCTCATCGACATACGTGCTCTGCTGTGGAAGCCTGCAGCCATGAAACACTGAAAACAGCAACTTAGGATTAAACGTGAGAAGAGAAGGGCAGAAAGGTTTAACCTGTCTTACACTGAAGATGAAGATTCCAAGTCATGGTGCAGCAAGCAATGGATATGGAGAATGGAATCTACAAGGAGCTCCTAAGGCGCAGGATTTCAATGCCATCGTAAAGCTTGGATCGTCCAGAGAAAAATGGGCTGACAGGAGGAGCCAGGGGCGACTGGGGGACTATGAAGGCCGACGTCGTGGCTGCCTTCGCCGAGCTGCGCAAACTCTGTGGACGCAAGTTTCAGGGACTGAATCAGGCACTGTTGATCTTTCTGCCCAAGCGATCGGATGCCTCCACCCTGAAGGATCTTCGCAAAGATGGCCGTGAAGATCCTAGATATGCATGTCAGGTTGTCGTCCAGGTTGGGTGCCCTGTACAGGGAGGGGTTTCTCGTTGCTCGTAGCTTTGTTAGTGCTCATTAGGCATCAGGGTTGCACACCAACTTCACAAAGTGTTGGATGTCCGCCAGAGGCTGTTCTGACGAGATGGCCCTCGAGGCTGCATCGATGATGGAGTGTGAGCTTGCTCCTTTCCCGGTCAAGTCTCTTTTTTTTTGAAAAAAAGTACCTTAGCAATCCCCCATCGCTTGGATTTTGCTGGAAGCCTCTGAGTGGGCCGAAAGAGAGAGAGGGCCCAAACAGCTCGGCCCAGATTTTCCGGCGTCGCCAAGAGGTGTGAAGAACAGCCACGCCGCCGCCGGCCCGCCGAGCGTAGGAGTGATGAACCGTCGAGCTGTCGCCGAGAGGGGACCTCACTCCTCATATCTAAAACCGGTGTCGTTGCCGATCCATCCACGTAACGTATTGAGACCAACATTCGGTTCAGCCTACTAAAGCGCACACCACATGCACATGTTTTAGGAGCCGTCATCATCATCAGACCACTGACCCATCTTCAGGAGAGATCCGCATCCTCCTTGCCAGTCCGGACATCCGTTGACGCCACCACGGCGCCTAACGGCGCCACCGCCATGCGCTCATCCGTCAAACGCGAAGTCTCTCGAAGATCTGTCGTGCGTAGCACCTGCCAACCAGGCATGACTCAACGTAGGACCTGTCGGTCAGGCATGAATTGATAGCTCCAGTGAAGCTCCGTGCAAGACGAAGCCGCTCCACCTCCTGCCAGTCTTCCAGTGCCCTCCACAAACGATGCTCCCAAGAGAGAAACGGCATCGTAGTACCGCCATCGTCCGATCTGGAAGACCGGATCCCAGGGTTTCCCCCGAAGCAGCACGAGTGGGTCGACAACAGTTACACGATGATGCTTTCATCAAGGTAACGGCGCAAAGCGCCGCCATCGCCCGCCAACGGCTCGGTTTTCACCGGCAACCCATGTCTCCCCAACTCGTATCTGGGACTAGATGACGAATCTTGAGATCCGACCACCTAGCCGCAGGCCGACCACCTCTGGCGGAAGAGATGACCACCACCGCTGCTGCACCGGCCAGAACAGATCTGACCAGAGGTGCCGCCAACGCAACCACCATGCCCTCCACGCCGCCGCCGCCGATCCAAAGGTAGATAGCGCGCAGCCGCTGCCGATCCAAAGGTAGATGGCGCGCCGCCGCCGCCCGAACAGGGCTAGTCGTCACGCCCGCAGCCCGCGCCGCCTGCGCGCTGCAGCCATCGATCGGATCGGGCGTGCCTCCATACGAATCGGGGCCCCGCACAACCCCGGAGACGCGGGAGAGAGGTGATGTCCTCCGCTACCGCGGTCGGCCCCCGAGCTTAGGCCAGCGGCATCCCTTTGCGGCGGCGGAGGGAGGAGAGGAGGGAGTGCGGGCTGGCGGCGGCTAGGTTTTTGTGTGCCGCCCGAGTCGCCCTAGCGGCGGGCTACACGGGAGCCCTTTGCTGGGTTGTTTCGCGATGGGTCTCACCTGCCTCGCTGGGTGTGAGTCAAACCATTATTCACCCTCAGCGTTGAAAGTTGCATCCACATATTATTTTTTTTGGAACGAAGGCTCAAGAAGAGCTCGGCTTTGAATTAACAAAACCATTAACCGGCCAGGTATTACATCGAATAAACCACACACATGAAAAAAATGGCTGATACGAAGTGCTGCTACAATAGCTCACAGGTAGCAGCAAAACAAGCACACCAGCCGAAGGAAAAATGAAGCACAGCTTGCAGCGCCGATCCATTGTCTACCAACATGACCGCCACCAGGGAGGAAGCAAATGTCTTGAACTACCACCGGAAATGTGTCGCTATCCACTCTTAGAGGCCAAGCAAGATCTCCAAGTCATCCGTCTCCACCTCTGTAGAGGGCCCCTACCCTCTCGCCCAGGATCGAAGGGCGCCGCACCGACGGCAGGCGGAGTGGTTCCCCCGAGAACACGGATAACCAAAGAGGATCGGGCTGACAACAGAAAAGGATTGGGAAACAGCAACCATAGGTCATTCCAATTACACTACTACCGCACATGGAACAACCACATGGCAAGACAAGAGCAGTTGAACGTAGACACGAATGAAGAGAACCATGGCACCACCACCAACCACATACAGCAACAGGCCTCCTCGCAGTCCCCAAGCGACGCCTTCAAGAAGGGGAGTGACACGGAGTGCCACCGTCGCCCAAAACAGGGGACTAGGATTTTCATCCGAAAGCAAGGGAATGGGTGGGCGGAAAGGACCTCGATGAAGCCTCCATGGAGGGGATCGGCACCAGCAGCGTCGACATCGCCATGACCAACTCGCCGGTCAAGGGTTTCCCCCGGTCTCACCCCCACCCCAACCACCCCCGTCGGCAAGAACCAGATGGGACAAGAAAGGTTGCAAGGAGGTGGGGTTGGGTTTCTGCAGATCAGACGCCAGGTCCGGCGAGAAGATCCTGTCGTCACGCGCCACGCAAGCCAAGCAACCCATGCCGTCCACACGGCCACGGGTGTTGGCCAGCACCAACGGACGCCACTCGCCGTAGAGTCGACGCCGCCCACCACCCGAGGCCGCCGCCCCAGCACCCGAAGACCAACCTAGCCTGCCACCACAAGGATGACAAGCCCCAAGCGCTTAGGTAGCCACCCCACCTACGGCGCTCGAGCTGCTCGCCCACCAACCCATTCACAATTGGAGTCAAACCACCCGAGAAGAAATGCACTGATCCAGATCCACACCAGGTCGTAGGAGCCAGCGCCCCAAGAAGAAATCGACGGGAAGCCACCGCATCGAGAGGCCTCCAGCCACGACAGCGAAGAGAGAAAGCCTTCGCCGGCTGTACCAAGATGTAACCTTGGACAGGCTGCATGAGGCCCCAACACCGATCCAGCAGCACGAGGAGCGGCTGGAGACGACGCCCTTGTCGCATCCCTGCACCTCAAGCACCA